CGTGCCAGCCCCTGCACCTCCTCCTGCCGCCGCCGCCGCCGCCTCGTCCCCACCGCTCCCATAGCCGCTGCGGCGACTACTGCAGCGCCCGCTGACCCGGCCCGACGTTACTCTCCCCCCCGCAAGCCGCACAGCCTAGCCCACCTGCCCTGCCAGCGCGCACCGCCCACCTTTCCGCCGCGGGTGCTGATTGGAGAGCACGTTCCCAGCCCGTGGCGTCGGTTGACTAGTCCCATTGCCTATCAGGGAGGGGGCGGAGAATTGGGCCGAGAGCGTCTCCGCCCCCCACCGGAGAATTGCCGCTATCTTCAGGTTTGCCTGAGAGGGCGAGTTACCGGGAAAGAAGCATCACAATAACAGTGCGCGTGCGTGTGTGCGCGGGGATTCTGGGACTTGTAGTTCTAGTCTCCGCCGCAACGGCCGGCCAGTACTGAGTAGAGAGATGAAGGGCGCAGAGCTTCTGAGAGCAGACTTGAATAGGTATTCTAGTTCAGCATGCTTGTGGCCACAGAGTTGAGCCCTTTGGAAGAAAAAATACTTTGTCACTGAGGCAGCCGCGACGAGAATCGCAAGTCCGGGTGGCTGCTTAAGGTCTACTCGCCTGCTCAGACCTAAAGCCGCCAGGATCTGAGGAATGGGCGCTGTCCCCATAATCTTAACCTAAGCTCCTGGCCAGGACCAGGAAACCCGAAGGTTTGAAGAGCGAAGGAAGGCATTATAGAGATGTCAGCCTGGAGAAGGGAGTGCCCCTTCACAACCTACGGAAAAAGATTGCATTGCTGTTTTGATAAAGACAATGAACAACCTTCGTGTGGACCAATCTGGAACTCTAAGCTGGAGTTTGAAGGAGTGGCTCAAAGACATACAAAGACTATGAAGGGTGGAGCATTAAAGCTGTGTGGGAGACATTTATATTTCGTGTTGAATGGGTGCCAAATTCTTTGGTGAAAAACAAAACAAAAAAACTAAGAGTAAGTCTCCCTCCCTTCTTTACTGACCATTATATAGACATTAAAAAATTGAGTTAACTTTACCAAGATCCCGCTAGTGTCAAAACCAAACCTCGGGTCTGTTTAAATATCGCATGTCCAATGCTCTTTCTCCTTCACAGTTCCAATGACTGCCACGTGTTTGCCTTGGACAGAAAGGATGAATTTTAGCTCTTGGTTTTTAATTGGTTTCTTAAGTGACGGAAATATTCTTCCTGTTGAGGAAATACCAGTTCCTTTATGTTCTTTTATGGACAGAAGACAGCTTCTTGCCTATCATTTTCAGATTCTTGGACAAAAGGCAGAACAAAATGTACATTTCAAAGACAACTGATGATGAAGTCATCTTGTTCTGTTCAACATAAAAAAGTTGCCAAATTGTTTTGTTTCTACTGGTGAAAGCAGAAAAGTGCTTTTTTTTCCATTATTTATTATAAATGTGCTACCACACCAGGTAGAATTTTTTTTTAAAAAAATTAGGTTAATATAAAAATGGGTTTCACTGTCGGATCTTCATTGTTTTGTTTTTAAGATAGAATGTAGCCCCTGTGTACCCAGGATAACCTCAAACTTCTGATCGTCCTGCCTCAGCCTTGGGCATGCTGGAATTATAGCTTCCAGCTAGCATCTTGACAACCAACTTATAAAATAAGCAAGCCAGAATCAGCTAAGAGAGCCACTCCCCAAATTCAGCCCCACAAAAACAATCCCCAACATCAAAAATAAATGTTTACTATTGCCTGAAACACTAATGGAGTTTGTGGTGACAGATAACTAATAAAGTAATACTTGGGAAAATAAAGATGACTGGCTCAAGTCTGTGGGTTATGCAAAGGAATGGAACTTGGATTTATGAAGAATCTTACAAACTATTCTAGGACAGTAAAATTCCATTTTAAACTGGGAAGTCTCCATACAAGACATAATGCTCCTTACATTTTTTTTTAATTTGTTCTAGCAAGAAATAACATACTGAATGATCTTTTCTTTCCCTGTTCTTCTGTGTGTGCGCAACTCTACCACATTTGGTACCATTCTGTAACAGGAAATGACCTACCTGGCTCTTTTATAGCATATGGTTACCAGGACAACATCACAATGTTTTGTTTGTTTCTTGTGCCCCAGCAGGGCACACTACTCCAGAACGACTCCAGAGCTACATCCCCAGCCCCAACGCCACAGTATGAATCAGAGTGAAGACCAAGATGCTTGCCATTCATTCTTTCCTCCCTTTTCTTTAAAAATTTCTGCTTGGCTAGAAGTGAGGAATGTGTTGAGTTCAGTCCCCTGTGCTATGATGGTTGGTATTGGTTGTCAACTTGACAGGGTCTAGAATCACCAGAGAGAAATTCTTTGCCTCGTCTCTGAGGGATTATCTAGGTTAGCTGAGGTGGGAAAACCCACCCTGAATTCAGGCAACACTGTAGGGAGCAGAGGAAGTCTGAGCAAACGCCTGAGCGAATGTGTACTGCCGACAGGAACATGGCCTCGGTCCATGGGAACGGTAAAGCATCCCTATCCTGATCCGAGTGCAAGCAATGGCTGTGAGTGCAGAAAATCAAGGGAAGAAAGCAATTCCACAGAAACCTTCATCTGTCTCTGCTTCCCTGCCTACGGACGCAGGCTGCATCTCAGCTCCAAGCTTGCCCCTCCACGATGGACTGGACCTTTGAACTATGAACCAAACAAACCCTTCCTTAAACTGCTTCCGTCAGGTGGTTGTCAACAGGCAAGAGAAGTAACTAAGGCAACACCAGAAAAGCAAAAAACGGAATCTCCAGGAACTAAGAATGTAGCGCTCTGGTAGAGCACAGGTTTGTCATGTGCAGTGTTCTGAGTCCATTCCCTGGGGTCAAAGAAGAGCAAAAACAAAACCTCTCAGGCCTCAGAATTACACACTAATAATTATGCTTTAATTATATCTCATTACAACTGTCAAGCTGTTTCTCAAACTGAGTACACAGTGCTTTGAAACATGAAACGCAATGGTGGCGCGTACAAACGCTTCTGCAAACCACCAGTCTCTGCCTTGAAATTCTTCATCAAACTAGTTTCTATCTAAACATTACTCAGCCCATAAGATCTCTGTAAACAATTTTTCATAGGGCAAATTACATTGCTAGGTACTGGAAATACAAAACTTAGTTTAGAGTTTTGCAATGTACCTAGCAAATATGCAAATCCCACAGAACAGTGTAGTAACTGCTACTTTGGAGGTTTGTAGCTTAGACTCTAGAACAGGAGCCGCTGAACAATACAGGGAGCCAGATGCTTGGGATCATCTGAGAGCATCTGCTGCATTGTTCTTAACAGAATAGCTTTCGCATCAATTCTATGAACCACCCGAAATATTTGTGCTCTGGTTTCATTTTCTTGAATTTTCGGAACTTTATCGTTTAGTGGTGGTAAGTTTATTTCAAACTTTAAAAATCCAAAGAAAACAAGGCAAGAGAAAAAAGTTGGACAGCTAGGCAAGGTAACCATAATTTGGGGGATTCAAATATACTGAATATCAATTTGGGTTTGATAGCGATTAAAATCAACTATACTATAAGGAAGTATTGGGACAACAAAAAAAGTAAAGTTAAAAAAGAGTGTACAATTATGAAGTAATTCTAGGGTGTGATCAGTACTCACACACCTGTAGACCCTGGGTGTGATCCCAAGCACTGCAAAAGGAAAGGAAGAAAAGACTCTATTCTAATTCAAGTGGTTGCCATTTTCCTTAACGTTCCTTTTTTTTTTTTTGCTAAGTCCTAGGCATTGAACCTAGAACTACACACATAATAATAGGCAAGTACTTAGAATAATGAATTCTACATTGCTCGGTTTTGTTGTTTATTTGGGTACTGGAAAGTGAATGCTCAGGGTTTTGTTTGGTTTTGATCCCTGTTTCATGGAACAGGAAAGTCATCCAATAATACATCATTGTTTCCCTATTGATTTGGTTGGTTCATTGGTTTGCTTTTTTTTTTTTTTTTTGGACACAAAGTCCCACCACAACCACAGGTTAACCTCAAACATCCCCATTGTGCTTACGTCCATTTCCCAAGTGCTGGGATGTGGCTCGTGCCCACTGTGCCAGGCTGTGTACTCCCAGTTTTAAAATGAGAATGGTGAGGTGGTGCCGTGATTCCTGATGAAGGGTGCCTCTCGGGGGTCAAGAAGAGGTTCTGTGCCTTCTAGGGTGGTTTGGAATTAGCTCTCCACTCCACATGGTGAACACTGTGGTGACCTTTAGACGCTGACAGTCTGGCTGGTAGTGCTAATAGCATCCCACAGTGATCAGAGTTCACCATTGCAAGCAGCACTCAATTTCCTCCTAGTTAGAGGTTTTTCGTTTTTTATTTTGTTTTTAAAATAACTTTTTGAGATAGGATGATTAATCATCTTGATTTTTTTTTTTTTTTGGTTTTTTGAGACAGGGTTTCTCTGTAGCTTTGGAGCCTATCTTGGAATAAGTTCTTGCAGACCAGGCTGACCTTGAACTAACAGAGATCCGCTGGTCTCTGCCTCCCCAGTGCTGGGATTAAAGGTGTGTGCCACCACCGCCCGGCCTTATAGATATTATTGTAACATATTTTCTAGTAGTGTTATTTGGGCAT